GTGCCTGTAACCTCAGCTCTTGGGAGGCTGAAAACAGGCGGATCACTATGAGTCTGATCTAAGTAATGAGACCCTATAGACCCTGTACTAAATAAAAAAATAATAATAAATTAAACATTAACTGCTCCTCTCAAAAGACCAGCAGAAACCAGCAAACCATCCAAATCATCCTGCATGCATACATACATACATACATACATACATATATCTTTTTCCTTTCTCTTCCTTTTGTCCCTCCCCATGCCAGCTTTCCCCTCCCACTGAACAAATTCTTTCCCTTTCACAGTATCCACTGGACTCTTCAGATCATATTCACTCCTTCATGTTCCCACACCTGCAACACAACACGACGTTTGCATACGTGGGTCTGATCTGTTTAATCCATTAATACAGTCTCTAGGTGCACCCATCCACCCACCAAAGCCCCAAGGTTATCTTCCCCCACAGCTGAGTAATACTAAGTCATGTAAAAACACCACATCAGAGCCAGCCAGATAGCTCAGCGGACTAAAGCACCTGCTTAGGCAGATGCAGGGGCTGGGATTCGATTTCCACCTACTGTGCTAGCCCCGCCCCCAGGGAACACTGAGACAGCGACTGAGACTAGGCATGGTGGCAAGTACCTGTAATCCCAGTGTTTAGGAAGCTGAAAAACAGGAGGATCACTACAAGTCCGATCTGTTTAGTGAGACCCTGTAGACCCTGTACTAAATACGTAAGAAAAAAAAACACATCTTCTCTATCCATTCCTCAGCCGATGGGCACCTGGGCTGCCAACAAGAAACAGCCACAACAAACTGCACCAACAAACATGGGCGCACACAGAGCTCTGCAGCACGATGACCTCAGTTCCCCTGGAAAAAAAACCCACGAGGGGAACAGCTGGCCCAAATGGGACCTCCAATGCCAGCTCCTTGAGAAATCTCCACAAGGGCTGCACCAGCCTGCACTCCCACCAGCAGTGGCAAAGGGCTCCTCCCTCCCCACAGCCTCCCCAACAGCTGCCTCTGGTTGACCTCTAGACGACAGCCACTCTCTCCAGCATAAGATGGCACAAGATAAAAATTTTAGGCCACGCATGGTGACACATATCTGTAATCTCAACCCTTGGAAAGCTGATACAGAAGAATCACTGAGTTTGAGGCCAGCCTGGGCTACATAATGAGTTCAAGATTGGTCTACACTACATAGCAGGCTGGGGATGTGGCTCAGGGCACAGCACCCGCCTGGCAAGCATGAGACCATGAGTCTGATTCCCAGTACCAAAAAATAAATAAATAAATAAATAAATAAATAAATAAACTACGTAGCAAAAGCCTGTCTCAAAAAACAACAAAAGATAAAACCTTTCAGTTCTATTTGATGAATGTGAAAATACCTACGTATTGGTATATTTGTACCCTTAATGAATAGGATTCCATTTTCTGCTTGCTGATTTCATAGCAGATAATTGATGTTGAAATATCAAGGCAAAAAAAAAAAAAAAAAAAAGTAAGAAAGAAATAGCAAGGCTAAAATGTCACAAAAACATTAAGGTCAGTAGAGCTGCTTTCCTGCCTGGAGCAATCTAAGGACTACGCCGCCGTCATCTGCTTATCTTCGAGGATGTAGACACCACTTTCCACCGCAGGGCCTCATAGCTACAGCCGCGACATTTCCCGGCTGGCTCCTGGAGCTGATCCTGCAGCCCACACAGCGCAGCCAGTTTCCATTCATTCCTGAATCCACCCAGGTAAGTGGGCAGCTGTGGACTCAAACTCAGATGCCTGATCACATTAACCCACGTCCATCAGTCTCCTCGCTCTGATTTTTTTCTTTTTTCTTTCTTTCTTTCTTTCTTTCTTTCTTTCTTTCTTTCTTTCTTTCTTTCTTTCTTTCTTTCTTTCTTTCTTTTGGAACTGGCGATTGAACTCAGGCCTTTGTGCTTGCCAGGCAAGCACTTACTCTACTGAGCTATCTCCCTGGCCCCTGATTTTTTCCTTATTTCCTTTCAAACAGAATAATTATTTGTCTAATACCCTGCACTGCTTCTTAACTCAGAGAAAGCCCTTGAAAGAGTCAAGAGCCAGGCGAAGGCGTGGCCAGTGGCTCCTCATTTACTTCGTGCTTCAAAATACCTCTTTGTGAAGTGCGAATCATAACATCTTTCCAACTCCACAGATGACCAGAGTAACAAAAGTACTATCTGTGGAAGCACTTACAATGCTTTGGGGAAAGGGACACAAAATACGGCAACTTTTCAGAACAAATGGCGCAAAATAAAGAAATGAATACAGCACGGAGACTGCAGAAAAAATCAGAAGCCTTGGACATTATCATTACAGATCTCTCTCTCTCTCTCTCTCTCTCTCTCTCTCTCTCTCTTTCTGTGTGTGTGTGTGTGTGTGTGTGTGCGCACGTGTGTCTGTCTGTCTGTCTCTGTCTCTGTCTGTCTCTGTCTCTGTCTCTCCCTCTGTCTGTGTCTCTCTCTGAGTGTCTCTCTGTCTGTCTCTCTGTCTCTGTGTCTCTGTCTGTCTCTCTCTGTGTCTCTGTCTCTGTCTCTCTTTTTCTGTGTCTGTCTGTCTGTCTCTGTCTCTGTCTCTCTGTGTCTCTCCCTCTGTCTCTGTCTCTGTCTGTCTCTGTCTCTCTCTGTCTGTCTCTGTCTCTGTCTCTGTCTCTCTCTTTCTGTGTGTGTGTGTCTGTCTGTCTGTCTCTGTCTCTGTCTCTCCATCTCTGTGTCTCTCTCTCTCTCTCTCTCTCTCTCTCTCTCTCTCTTTCTCTCTCTGTATCTCTCTCTCCCTATCTCCCTCTCTCCCTCTCTGTCTCTCCTTTTTCCCATCTAGCCTCAAAATACCTTGCAGTTCCATAGTGGTTAAAGTTTGTACGCATTATGCCAAACGTTTCACATTTGTTCGGACCCATATTACAGGGAATCATCGGGGATGGAATTCACCACTGAGAAGCACTTTTACTTCTCTGTCCGCCTCCCCTCCCAGCCTGTAAACTCTGATATTGATGCAAGAACAAAGCCTCCCTTGTGCTGCTCCAAATAGCCAGATATGTGGGTGGACTCATTCTACCAGGGAATTCCATCAAAATTCACATCTGCTGATTTCATAGCGCGAGACGTTTGACCCTTTGCCTCCCTCCCTCCAATCAGCATGAAACACTTTTCCTACCTGGAATAACTTGCTTCTGCCTACTGAAAATGTATGGAGCATAAACCGTGTAAAAGGCACCCTGCTGGGTACTGTGGAAAACTGAAAGATGAATGAAGGAGCCAGTTTTTGCCCCCTGAAAATTTCACAGGCCCACATTCCTAGATATAGATCTCAGGCACATCAGTTCTCCAGAAACAGAGGCTGGGATGTTTATCTCCCTATTCTAGGGCGTTGGGCCTCGGGAGCCTTGGAAGAACGTGTGTTATGGTCAACCCTTCCTGTTTTGTACTCAACTAGGAGGAATCATTCCTAGCCTCTTTCTAGTCTCCTATTGCTTACATAAGAGCCAGAGAAGAACCCATTGTCAGAACAGGCCAGAGCCCAAGACAGCCAAACAGAAAGTGAGAAGGAAGAGAAGGAGAGAAAGGATGAGAAAAAGCACTTGCTAGAAGAAATCTGCAGAACAAAAGTTCTGCAGAAAACTGAGGAATTATTCAGTAATATTGATTCTCAATAAGAATAAAACAGACAAGGGCTGGGGAGATAGGTCAGTAGAATAAGTGCCTGCCTGGCAAATGCAGGGTCCTGAGTTCAATCTCCAGTACTGTAAAAAAGAAAAGAAAAAAAGAATAAAACAGACAAAGGCTCTAGAGGGAGAAAAAGAATTTGGAGAAAATTGAATTAATCCAAAATTAAAATAGCCGGGCATAGTGGCACACGCCTGTAATCCCAGCACTTAGAAGGCTGAGGTAGGACAATAACCATGAGCTTAAGGCCAGCCTGGGTGACATTGTGAGTTCAATGCCAGCCTGGACTACATAGCAAGACTCTATATTAAAAAAAAAAAGGAAAGAAATTTCTAACATATTATTTCAAATCAAGATCACAACGTGTACTTTTTTGCTTGTCTCCATATAAACTCAATGAACAGTTCAAGACTTCAAGAGATAATTATTTCACTAAGAATAGTGAAATTATAGCTCTCCTGGTAGATATGACCAAAGATACCTAATAAAAGTACAGAAATAATAAGAGAACAAGCAGATTTTGTTAATCTATGTAATCTCGATATAAAATGTACATACTGATACCTTACACCGACCACCATAGAAAACACAAGCATACACTCCTATTAGTCAGCAGAGTGATGATGTCATTATAGGCCAAAGAGCTTTTGGAACAAAAGTGAAAAGGTCAAATCATTCTCTCTCTTTCTTCCTTCCCTCTGTCCCTCTTTCCCTCCCTTGCTCTCTTTCTCTCTCTCCCTCCAGAGGCTCTGAGACAGAGTCTCTGTACTTAGCTCAGGCTGACCTTGAGCTCAGTGTGCAGCCCTGGCTGGCCTCAAACTCCTGACGTTCCTCTTGCCATAGCTTGCCGTAGCCAGCAGAGATTAGAAGCGATCAAAACACATCGGATCTGGAAATGATTTTGACCCCAGACATCCCTTGAAAGGATTTGGGAGACATCCATCGGACCTGTTGAACCACCATTTGAGAACTAGTCAGATCGATTCACTTTCAGGTCAGTTCTTATTTCCTATTACTAACAAACCATCTTTTCTTATGTGTATTTCATTCACATCTCTGGACAACTCTTTGCGGATATTTGACCTAACATAACCCCTAGCTTCATGCCACTCTAAGAGAAAAACCCCTGGTGCTGGGCGGGCGTTCTGTTTAACTGAATGCAGAGAAACGCGGGGAGTCCCCACACCGCCAGCCGCGTCACCGAGGCGGAGGCACAGCTGGTGACCGGAGACAGACCGGCTCACCCAGAACTTGGGACAGAAGCCAGGAGACGCCGGCAGAGGCCCGCCCGCCTCAGGTGAGCCGGCCCCGGAGGAGGAGCGCCGCCAGGTGTCCCTTGGCAGCCGCGTCCTCCGCCCCACTGCTGGCGGCGGCCTCGTCGGGCGCGGGCAGGAAAACGCGCGCCCCTCGGAGGACTTAGGCGCCCCCTCTGTCTGCGCGCAGGGCCGGAGACAGCTGGGCCGGGTTGTCTCTGAGACCTAGCTGGGCGCCAGAGACCGAGGGTCCGTGGCTCCAAACAACAGGTCTCGGGTCCCGGGGCTGCTGGAACATGTACCGGGAGCTCCAGGTGCGGGGCCCCGGGGGGGATCCGACCCCAACAGAGAGCCTCAAGGGTCCGATCCGCGCTCCGCAGAGTCTGGAGGGGCCGGCGCAGCGTGCGCCCCTAGGCGCTCTCGGGGGCTACTTCCCAGGTCCCGGCGACCGAAACCGCGCGCGGGGCGCATTCACGCGGTGGTTTTGGGTAAAACAGGTCGGGTGACTCAGTTCCCACCGAAACTCAAAACTATTGAGCCAGGGACTTTTTTGATGCGTCTTTTCTCTTTGTTTTAGTTTGTTTGACAGCTGCCAGACTATGTTCACACTTCTGATTCTGCTCAGCCAACTGCCCACAGTTACCTTGGCGCTTCCTCCTCGCACAAGAAATCCGAAGGACTCCAGGCATGCGCCACAACAAGGTAAGCAGGACTGTGTTTGCGAGAAAGCCCTCCTGGAAACCGGAGCCTCCCATTAGAGATCTCAAGAGAAAATTATATGCCTCCATGAACCAGAGAAACACTAAAATAGCGTGTAGTTTAATTTGTAGCTTATATGGTAATGTTTGGGTTTTTTATGTACTTTACAATGTGTAGGAATTTGTCTCTGTGAGTTTCCTTTGGTGAAATCTGTGTTTAAGATCTGGTTTAGATTTCTGAAAATTAGTGATTTTTCTGTTTGATGAAGCTGTGTGATAATCACATGGAACACAATTGCTTGTTGTTTCTGGAAGGATGGACAGGATGTCCTCGTCTAGTCTGGACTTGTTTGTGTGTGTGTGTGTGCTGCTAGGGTTGGAACTGAGGGCTTTGGGCATGTTAGGCTCGCGATCTACCTCTGAGCTACACTCTGACACCTGGAGCCCCTAGTATGACCTGCTTGCGAGACCTGGGCAGAATACTTGCTATCTTTGGGCTGGAATGCCTTGTCTGTAAAATAATGGGAGTACAGGCAGAATGATCTCTGTGGTTCTTTCTGACTTTGAAAAGTCTGGTTGTCTAGATAAAGAGAGATGGCTGAGAGATTTTTGGAACTGACTTACCTAGAAGTCCATGCATTTTAGGCTCTAGATCATAAATAGGTTGGTTCTTGGTCCATACTCTAAAAGCCTTACCCAGAAAAAAAGACAGACAAAGGAAAATTGCTTTTGGCTTTAAGCATTCTTCTCCATGTCTATTCATTGTCCTTCTCCACCCCAGAGCCACACATGCATGTCCTTTGTCACTTCTCATCAGATCCTCCTGTCAGCTCTTTTTCATTTGAGAAAGATTTGTTACACTAATACTTCTGACTGATTTATTAAGAATTATTAGCTTATTGAGTGTGCGTCTTAGGACAATACCCTAAGTTAGAAGCAAACTCCAATGCCAGAATTGTAGGCAATTGGATCTCCCAAATCACATCAAATATATGAGCTGTATATGTAAGGCAGATAGATGGTCTACACTTAGTAGGACTGCTGTGATGCCCCCAGAATGTGAGTATATTCATTCACATGACACGGGCACAAAAATTACTTTCAAAGTCATCATACACTATGGAAGCAATGCAGAAATCGTACCCGAGTGTAGAAGACTATAGATGCCTGCAGGATTTAAAGATGAGGATCCAACATAAGTGAAAGCCAATTTGTTTCATCGGTACGTTATGAACATCTACTGTGGGCCAGGCCCTATGCTAGGTGCTGGAGATGTATAAATGAAGGAGTGTAACTGCTGTCCTGGAGGACCTCTGTATCTGGTGGGGAGGGCAGGGGGTACATTCTCCATAAATTCTGTAGCAGAGGTAGAAACACCGACCCCTGGAGCAGAGAAGAGTAGTGGTGTAACCCTGACCCAGGAGAATTATAGAACACACTAGCAAAGCTTTCCAATGCAAATGGAAATGATAAATGGAGATAGTTCCTCCTTATCTGCAGAGGATTCATTCCAAAGCTCCCAGGAGACCCCCAAAACTTCAGATAGTACTGAATGAATCCTATTAGTAAGCCCAAATACCATGAAGTTGATCCGATATGTAATAGGTACAAGACAAGGTCAGAGGATAAGGGCTTGCGACCAGGTTGTGCGGGGCCCGTGGGCCACTGTAAGAAATTTAGTTTTCATTCTGTAGAAGATGAAACTGATATCAGGAGGTTTTAAAAGCGGCTAGTTGTGGTGGCTAAGGCAGATGGGCCACAAGTTTGAGGTCAGCCTGGGCAGTTTAGCAAGACCCTGTCTCAACTAAAGAATGAGCCAGTCCTGGTATTACACATTTGCAATCCCAGCCCTCTGGGAGGCTGAAAGAGGAATCGCAAGTGTGAGTCCATCCCGGGCAAATGAGTGCCACTTTGTCTTAAAATTAAAAATAAAAATGAACTGGGGATATAGCTCCTTGTCAGTGCCCTGAGTTCAATCTCCAGTCATACACACACACACACACACACACACACACACACACACACACACACATCACAAGAAATAAGAACACAGTTTGACTTAGATTTTTTTTTAAAGGGCTCTCTCTGGCTGTTGTGTCAACAACAGATTATGCAGGAACAAGGACACTTATTGGAAAGCCTCTGTAGGACACCTGGGGAAGTGTGATGGAAGTCTGGAAAATTGTCATGCTTTCTCCACTCGGGGGCAGCATAAAATGTACAGGAAGGCGAGTGAGGGGGAAAAGAACAGAAGTATTTAATCACACTGGCCTGTGTTCCACTTTTTTGCATTTTTTTTCCCCCCTTGAGTGTTTCAATATAAGGTCTCATTATATAGTTCAGGCTGGCCTTCAACTCACTGTGTAGCCCACACTGACCTCAAACTCCTGCCAGTCCTCCTGCTTCAGCCTCCAAGTGCTGGAATTACAGACATGCACCACCGTGCCCAGCTTTCACTTTTTAATATAAAATAACTATCACCAATTATTCCATCCCAGCTTTCTCCTTGGTTCCAGTAGCCCACATGTTATTTATAACATAAAAATTGATACTCGAGAATAGTGCTAGGCAGAAGAAATACAATGTGAGCCACAAAAATAATTTAATATTTCTAAAAAAATAATAATTTATTTTTTTCTAATACATGTTTTAAAAAGAAATAGATAAAATTAAGTTTAATAGTGTAGTTAATTTAACCAAATATTCAAATATCATTATCTCAAAGAATGCAGCATGAAACTTTATTGAGGTAAATAATGTCCTTTTTTCCCTCCATACTAAAGTTTTAAAATCTTGTGTGTATTTTATATTTTCAATACATCTCAGTTCAAATTGGCCACCTATCAAAGGCTTAGTAACTATATACAGTGGCTATGGTATTGGGTGAAATACCTGTAGAAAATTCAGACCTGTTTACAAAGTTAATTTATTTATAGAAAAAACAGTCTTGAATAAGATGTGACTGCTCTCAAGGGACTAAGAATAAATAGCCAAGTGCTGACGAGATAGTTCAGGGGACTAAGCACCTGCTTAGTGCAGGGACCAGGGTTTGATCCCTGATACCTCATGCTGCGATGGTCCTGCCCCCATGTGCGCTGAGCCTATGACTAAATCCTGGTGTGGTGGTGCACACCTATAATCCCAACACTGGGGGGCTGACACCAGGAGGGTCGCTATGAGTCCTAACTGTGTAATGTGACCTAGTACCAAGTATATATTTTTAAAAAGAAACAAAGAATAAATTGGCAAGTGCGAGGTCCTGAGTTCAATCCCTGGTACCACCAAAAAAACAAAAAAAAGAATAAATAGCCAACCCAAAATCACTCAAAAACCAGCACTGATTTTCTAAACCATGCTTTCTAGGGAATGGCCTAATAATTGTTCACCTTAATAGATTCTTCTTTTGCTAAAGACTAACAGTGAAAAGAGGTATCACTTTAAAATTCTTTTAATCATTTTGAGTTAATTGTCAGAAGGTTTCTGAATTTCAGTCTCAGCCTATCATCTTGGTGTAATCACTTAAACTCTTTTCATGTGACACCAGAATGACTTTAAGGTTAGTAGGTTTTGAAATATTGCCATAATGGGATTCGTTTTTTTCCAATACTAGGGATCAAACTCAAACTCAAGCTCGAACATTCTAGACAAGTACTTAACTACTGAACTATATCCTCAGCCTTCCGTTTTTATTTGAGCCAGTGTCTTGGGTGGCTCAGGCTGTCTTAGAACGTTCATTCCTTCTGCCTGAGCCTCACAAGCAGCTGGGGCTGCAGGTATGTGCCCTCGTGATCAGGTCTTGATGCTGTTTCCTTGGGTCACATTTGAAAGTCACACAAAACTTAAACCATCACATGGTTTCCCTTATATGAGAAACCCAAAAGGTAAATAACTAGCAAAATAAGAGATAGCAAAGGGAAACAGGAGCATAGATCTTATGCACGTGGGAAGACAAGGAGAAGGAAAGGAGATGTAAAAAGGGGTGTTATGGGGCCGGGGAGATGGCTCAGTAGAATAAGCGTTTGCCTGGCAAGTGCAAGGGCCTAAGTTCAATCCCTGATCCCACCAAAAAAAAGGGAAGAAGTGTTTCTTTGGGGCTGGGGATATAGCTCAGTGGTGTAAGTGCCTGCCTGGCAAGGGCAAGGTCAAAGTCCTGAGTTCGATCCCTGGTACCACCAAAAAA